TTTATCATTTCGACTACCTCTTGTTCGGTGAGAATTATCAGTACTCTGAATTTCCACGTGTGGTAATTATTTCCCACCAACGCACAGTGGTCCCAAATGCCGAAAAGTTGGCCAAAATATGAAGGAGTTCTTCAATTTAGCTAAAAATTTGTAGGTAGGGGTTATCGAGGTCGCTGATTACGAATCAAAAGTCATAATTTAAAAAAACAAAATGGCGGCTCCGATATAGCTCACACATATGCGAAAGAAATGTCGGAATCACCTGAAATTTGATGCATAGTTACTATAGAGGTTGCTGATTACGAATTAAAGGAAAAATTACAAATAAATAATCAATTGCATTTATTAAATGAAATGACTCCAAAACATCGTACGCCAATTACATATACATATACTGCTAAGTTTCAAGCAGAATCATCGGAATCATATTCATTATCAGATATGTCGCTTTCTGTGCTGGATTCTGTTATTAACATTGCCGGTTGAACTAATAAATTTAACGCCTTTGCACAGTGGTCCCAAATCCCGTAAAGTTGGCCAAAAGAGTATCGAATTTTATTACTGATAGTTTATACGTTTAATTACAAAGGGTAGAGGGCCGAGCGCATCTACCTGCATTGGTATGTCAATAGAAAATTGACTTTCGTTTCAGCAATACCTAGCTCGCAAACCCAGCGAAGAAAGACTTCATTAAAAAAACCTGTAACTTAGTTCGTAGTGCATCAATTTCGATTCGGCAAAATGTAAAATACAGCTGAAGGTAAGTAGAATTCACAGATACATTGCAAAGATTAATGCTTACAAAGCACATACAATAATACATACAATACATACAAAATACATATAATAATTTAGTAACGCTTTTTTATAAAAATTCAAGTAAAGAATGACGTCGGAATTTACAATAAATGGAAAAAGTTTATGAGTTAAGTGGAGCTGAGCTAAAAAAACCAATTGGAGTAAATATTTGACACTGCTATGCAACAGAATTAGCAAAGAAATGCTGCCCATGTCTGCCTCTCGAGTTTTAATAAATGTTTAAAAATGTAAATGCTCGTGTTTGTCGTTGATTCCTGTGTGTTCGCCTCTCTCTCTCTGTCTCTCAATTCTTCTCTCCCTTTCACTCGCCATTTTTGTTTCCCTTTTTCATACCTGCTTACAAATTACAAGTCGGGGAGAGGTCAATATGCAGGTATACCTGACACCCAAACACTAATTCCGAAGTACAGTTAAGCAAATAAACGTTCTGTTTACGAATATCCAGCAATAGTTTTTTCATAACTTTTTATGAACATTGAAATAGGCGTCACACAATTACTATAAATATTATTAAAAAAATATAATATATATCGGCCTATGAAATGTAACATTATGAATACAAGATATGTTGATACGTTTGTACGTGCGTGTACATTACGTTGTTGCTGGAAAGATTAAACTGGGGTAAAAAATAATTTAGGATTGTGGCGGCGACAAGCTGGCGCCACGTCTCCGCCATGTGTTTAGTTTTAGTCTAAGGTATGTTTGAATGAATGGATCGGGTTGCGTGCTGTGCGCCAGCGTCGAGAGGATGTTTGGACGATTGGGTCGAGTGTCGCGTAGGGTGAGTGTGTTTGGTTTGATTTCGAGTGAAGGCGAACTGTGAGTGAGAAAGAATGATTTTCGTGAGAATGCGTGAGCGTGCGAACGATGAGTTTGGTAAAGAGTTCAGTCAGGGATTTGGTCGAGAGCGGTCACGCGGGCTACGCGGGTGTACGACCGTCTATCGTGAATAAAGAAAGTCCGGTAATGAATTGTGCTTCACGTTCTTTTTTGTTTCCCGTCACAACCACCTCAGGATGATATATACAGTTAAAGTGGTCATCCCTGAACAGAATTTCGCATTTTGCAGTGACAGATACGTATAGTTGCGTAATCATTTATTATTCTCCTTCCTCTATTATTTCAATTCTTGATTTTCCCTTATATTTTAGGTCTAAGCGAAGAAGAACAGCAGAAATTTGTTCATCTTCAACCGTAGAAGAATTATCCTACGCTACTCAAATGAGCCTCCGTGCTTTAGGGAAAGTGGACGCTGCAGCTGTTATAAAAGAAATAAGGAGTTCGGTTGGAACCGTGATACTGAGCTGACGTGTTTGTCAACACCGAGCGTGCTGTGAACGCGAGTGCCAAGTACAGTGCCAATCAAATCTTATAGGTATTCATGATAGTCTGTGTTACTGTTGATTAGTGAATATTACTAAATTGTTATAAACCAACTTCTTAACCCATTTCTACGCCATTCTCGGTGCAACCTATTCACCGAAATGGCTTCTGACCACGGAAATTTGGTACCCCAAACTGTTAATAATGATTCTAACGCACCACGACGAAGCTACAATAAGGTAGTACAAAGTGATTGCTTCCCCAAAAAAGATCAAGCGATCATAATCGAAGCCAAAGATGGAATTCAACTAAGAGATTACGCTCATGCATTAGGCAGAATTACCAATCCAGCGAATATTAGATTTATGTCAAGAGTATCCAACGGTAGAATTTGTGTCTTTTTGGCGAGTAAGAAAATCGCGGACGACCTCACCGATAAATATAAACACATTAAAGTTAACGGTATCGATGTAACCATAAGGCTGTTAATCAGCAAAGCTCAACGTATAATACTTTCAAACGTTTGCCCAACAATCCCTCACTCAATAATTGAAGGAATACTTGATGAAATTGGAGTAAAAAGAGAATCAGCTGTATCATTCCTAAGAGTTGGCATGGCAGAAGAGGGTTTTACGCACATCCTCAGTTTTCGTCGTCAATTATATGTCCATCCAGATGACACACACAAAATCCCAGACTCAATCAAAATTGAATATGAACAAACCACATACTGGATTTATCCTTCCACAGATACATTAAAATGCTTCATATGTAATAAAGAGGGTCACGTCGCAAAAAACTGCAAAACCGAAAAAAACCAACCCTTGCTATCTGAATCTCCACAAACAAGTGTCTTTATAAAACCTCAAGACCCCAAAATAGCGCCAATAGTATCAAATATTGATAGTACAAACATGGCAAAAGAATCAGAAAACCCTAGGGACAATACGGCAACAGAAACCATGGACATAGATCCATTGATCAGAACCTCAAAACGCACAAGATCCGAAATGACCGACGATTCAAGCCTCACCACAGAAGGAACCAACGATTCAAACCATGCCACAGAAAAATCAATCAGTCTTCAACAAATCCTGGAAACTGAATCGAAATGCAAGCAGCCAAAGAAAAAACCAAATGTTGCAACAAAGAGCGATAAAAGCATAGATGACATGTTGCAACCAGTTAAACACGTACTAGAAGAACCTGGTAAAATGTTAAACTTCTACCAACTTAAAAGCTTTATTGAAAACACACTTGGATCTCCCAACACTAGAGAGATTGCAACAGAATACACAGACGACGTAGAAGCTCTAGCGAATTTTATGAAAGAGATATACCCTTACCTCACAGACCGTTGCATCAAAAACAGATTCACAAGAATCACGAGAAAGCTAGTTAAATCTACCAAGGCTGATCACTCAATGAGCTCTCCTACTCCTTCGGATTGCTCAGATACTCCTCAGTGCTCCGAAGACGAACACACCAATTAAATATCAAACAAAAAAATACCGTTCAATAAGTATAAATGCTAAGGAAGATTATACAATGGAATCTTAATAGTTTCAAAGCACGTTTTGAATTCTTACAAAAATTGCTCCAGGATCATCGGCCATGTGTATTATGCCTGCAGGAAACCAATTTCAAAGCAAATGAAACTATCAGTATTAAAGGTTTTAAAGTAGTCCAAAAAAATAGAAGGAATGCCTTGATCGCGAGCGGCGGAGTAGCAATCTACATGAAACAAAGCCTAAATTACACAGAAATACCGCTAAACACTAATATTGAAGCAATTGCGGTCTCAATCATTCTATATCAAAAAGAAATATGTATATGCAACGTCTATATTCCAAATAACCACCAATTTCAAGAAGCCGAATTAATCAACATTATAAAGCAACTCCCCAAACCTTTCTTATTAATGGGAGATTTCAACAGCCATAATACAATGTGGGGATCTGCAAACACAGACACTAGAGGAAAACTAATTGGAAATATAATACTCAAATCAGATATCATCTTGTTGAATAATTCCGAACCCACTCATTTCAACATGTCAAATGGCTCTTACAGCTCAATAGACCTAACCTTTTGCAGCCCCAACATTTTCAACAGCACTAAATACGAAATTTCAACCGAGTTATATAACAGCGACCACTTTCCCATTATCATTGAACTAATAGACAATAATGCTGATAACCATATAATACAACCTAGATGGAAATTCAAAAAAGCCGACTGGCCGCTATACCGCCACGAAATAAATCAAAACCTTCCATCATTACAAACGCCTGATGCCTCAAACTGTACGGAAATAAACCAAATATTAAAAGAGTTTGAAGAATTAATCATCCATGCTGCCACAAAATCCATACCTAAAACATCAAATAATACAGAGAAAAAAAATATCCCTTGGTGGAATGATGAATGCTGCAATGTAATTAAAGAAAAGAAACATGCCTTCAACGTATACAAAAAACATAAAACCGATTTCAATTTAATAGAGTTCAAGCGGGCAAGGGCCAAAGCAAGAAAAGTCCTTAAACAAGCAAAAAAGAATTCGTGGATAAATTACATCGCATCCTTAACAAAGACCACTCCATGTGAACGAATATGGAATAAACTGAAGAAAATTAATGGCCAGAAAGTAAGTTCCCAAATTACTGCAATCAAGAGTTCTGAAAACTCAATTACCATAGACGCTAAAGAAATTGCCAACCTTCTAGCTACTACTTTTGCAAATAATTCGAGTAATAAAAATTTCGACCCAAACTTTCTCAAAATTAAAGCTAGAGTTGAAGAGAATTCAAGACACGAGCATATCATCTCTCAGACGAGAAACCACCCCCCTTAACATGAAAATTCTGCCTACAGAATTAAAATCGGCGCTAAAATCTGTTAAAAATTCCAGTCCAGGACCCGACAACATTCCAAATATTTTTATACAACAACTACCAAAAGCAGGAATAAATTATTTATTAGATATCTACAACTGCATATGGCTGAATGGTGTCTTCCCTACCAAGTGGCAAGAAGCAATAGTAGTGCCCATTCTAAAACCTGGAAAAAACAAGCTTCGAATCGACAGCTACAGACCTATCGCCCTGACATGTTGCCTATGCAAACTGCTAGAGAAAGTAATCTGCAAAAGACTGCGATGGTATTTGGAGACCAATAACCTACTAGGAAAAAATCAAAATGGGTTTAGACAGTATCGTTCGACGATGGACAACCTTGCAATGTTAGATATAAACATTTGCGAAGCCTTCCTTAGAAAACAACATCTAATAGCAATATGCTTAGACATTGAGAAGGCTTACGACATGCTTTGGAGACACCGAATAATACAACAACTTATAAAGTGGAACATAAGTGGAAGCATGATACAATTTATATACAATTTCCTAAAAAGCAGATCTATATATGTCCGTGTCAACGGCAATTTATCCAAGAAAGTTGAAATCTTAAATGGGGTACCGCAGGGATCTGTACTAAGCGTAATTTTATTCTTGATTGCAATAAACGATATCGCTGAAGTCTTCTCTAAACCAGTTAAATACACCATATTCGCTGACGACTGTACCTTCTTTATAACCGGGAAAAGTCTAAGCACCAGTCAGCAAATCCTTCAAGACAATTTAGATAGACTCCAAAAATACGCCCTACAAACTGGATTTAAATTCTCAAAAAACAAAACCACCGTTACAGTTTTTTCAAAACAAAGAACAACACAAAACCACCAACTACAGCTACACTTAGGCCAGCACCAACTCTTGATAACAAGCACTCCAAAAATCCTCGGTCTAATTTTTGATAACAAATACACTTGGACGCCATTCCTTAAAAAGCTCAAAGAAAAATGTGTCAAGAGATTAAATATATTGAAGGTCATCGCTTCGAAAAACTGGGGGGCTGAATTCCAAATTCTAATTAATACATATAAGGCCTTAGTTCTGTCTAAACTAGATTATGGATCAATCGTCTACGATTCTGCAAAACCACGCGTTCTAAAATTATTAGCACCTATACATAATGCCGGAGCTAGAATAGTCACTGGAGCTTTCCGAACGAGTCCGGTAAATGCAATTCTATGTGAAGCTGGTCTAATACCACTGGAAACTCGAAGAAAACAACTGAGCTTATCGTATGCAGCAACCAGATTATCAACGCCTTCAAATCCTATCTACGAGAAATTAACTAACATCGCCCATTTCAATGAATTTAAGGAAAAACCCAAACTTCCGGAACCGTTAAATAGTAGAGTCAAAACATACTGGCAAGAACTAAATATGGATACACCAAAAATCATATCAAGAATACAGTATCAAATTCCACCATGGACGATAGATCCTCCTTCCATACTCGATAAAATTCTGAAAGCAGGCAAACAAATTAACCCAAACGTTCTCAAAAGTCTATATACTGAATTATCGAATGAATACCCGTACCATACGCAAATTTTCACTGATGCTTCAAAATCAGGACAGGGGACTGGATGTGCGGTATGCACTCCCGAACATGAGATCCTATTCAGGCTCCCGGAAACATTCACAATATTCACTAGTGAAGCGTTAGCTGTTCTACAAGCCTTGAAGTACATAGAAGAAACAACACACAATAAATCCATCATTCTAACTGATTCTAAAAGCGTCCTACTCGCCCTACAAAATTTGGAAACAAACAACACTGTAATCCAAAACATTATTGAATTAAATGAAACACTTAAGCGAGACAAAAGAGAAGTGTTATATTCCTGGATCCCCTCCCATATTGGTATTGAAGGTAATGAAAAGGCTGATACAGCAGCAAAACTGGCTAGCTCCAGTACAGCTATAACGAAATGTGAACAGGCAACTCATCAAGACATCCAAAAGCATTGCACCAAGGCGCAAACGGAAGTGTGGAATGAAGAATGGAGAAATAGCAGACCAACTAAGCTACATAAAGTTCGAAATAATATACATGACTTCAATCCGGCGCTACTACTAAATAGAAAAGACCAAGTGAAAATAACCCGACTAAGAATAGGACACTCGAACTGGACACACTCATACCTTATCACAAAAACCGAACCAAATTCCTGCGACACCTGTAACGTACGAAATAGTATTGAACACATCTTGACAATCTGCCCTAAATACAATATGAAGAGGATCCAACACAAGTTACAAAACTCACTAACGATCTTACGAGAAACAGATTCCTGCAGAAAAGTTTTAAACTTCTTAAAAGACATCAATGTATACCAATTGCTCTAAATATGATTAGCCCCACTAAGTAACCCAACTGTGGTCACTAATAACCTAAAAGGTGCATGTGACCTAAAACGCTCAATAAAAGAAATAACTTTAGGAAATCAAATGAAAAGTTCTAAATACAGAAGATGTGTATCATTCATTGAGGAAACGACTCTTTCAAGCGATTCAGCTCTATCACTTCTCATTGAACAAAAATTGTCAAAGAGACAATATCAAGGACTGCGATCTCTAATTAAAGAAAATAACTGCAAGTTGTATCCACCATACAAAGCTGTGTTACAAGCTAAGAAGTAGTATCCAGATAGAAGTAGTATTGCAATAACAGAATGTTCTGCCGAAATGAAATTGCAGGCTTTATTTGACCACACCGCAAAACGAATTTTGCACACGCAGAATGATATAATTAAGAATTTGCCCTCTACGGCAGTTAAACAGATGAGCCTGATTTGCAAATGGGGTTGTGTTGGAATTTCTGGATAAAGCATTTATAAACAAAAATTTCATGCTGATGATGAACCAGATGCGAACATCTTCGTTACGTCATTGGTGCCATTACAACTTATATCTGTTCATCCAGAGACAAAGGTGGAGATTATTGTTTGGAAAAATGCGAGATTTTCATCTCGACAATTTTGTAGGCCATTAATTTACAAGAAAGTACAGAGAACACCGTGTTACAAGTTGAAAATATCAAACAGCAAGAAGAAAAGCTTGTTCCTTTCGACACACTTATAGATGGAAAGGAAATTTCAATAACGCCGACACTTGCCTTTACAAAGGCAGATGGCAAAGATTGCAATGCTGTTACCGCTACTTCATCAGCTCAGCGTTGTTTTGTATGTAGAGCAACATGAAAACAATTTAATGAAATAGATAAAATGTTACAAATGGAAATTGATGAGGAAAATTTATGTTTTGGGCTATCCACATTACACGCATGGATTTGCAGTTTGGAATGCCTCTTACATTTATCATAGAAGTTAGAAATTAAAAAGTGGCAAGTTAGCTTCGAAGAAGAAAAGAAGGATTTTGAAACCAGAAAAAAAATAATCCAAAAGGAATTTCGTTTACAATTGGGACTTCTTGTTGGCCAACCAAAAGTTGAGTTTGGAAGCTCCAATGATGGCAACACACTCCGGCGTTTTTTTGAAAATTCATCGACGAGTGCAAGGTGTCGGCCAAAAATTTAATTCAACGGTTTCACGTATTATTGCAGGTAATATCACGTGGACATGAAATTAACGTTGAGAAGTTTAAAAAATATGCCATACAAATAGCAAGAAAATTTGTTGAATTATATCCATGGTATTGTATGCCTATTTTAATTGACAAAATTTTAATCCATGGACCAGCCATCATAGCTTCTACATTATTACACATCGGACAGTTATCTGAGGACGCCCAAGAAACATTAAACAAATACATAAAACGTTTTCGTGAAGACTTTTCACGAAAAATGTCGAGAATGAAAACTGTGGAAGATGTGTTCTTTCGGCTGTTAATTGCATCCGATCCATATATCTCCAGCTTAAGAAAATTGCCACAAATCCACTTACAAATAAAACAAAACTATTAAAAAGTATCATCTGAACTTGATGACACATCAGTGTCATCATCGGTACTTTCTTCAGAGGTAATTGGTAGAAGTAATAGCTGCAGAGCGTCCGGCGTGAATTTCTTGCATTTTTTTTTTATTCTTTTTTTAAATTTGATATATATGGATCTGATGATAGTAAGAGCCGCAAGAATACATCTTCCATTGTTTTTGTACGAGAACATTTTCGTGGAAAATCTCTCCGAAAGCTTTTAATATATTTGTGGCTGTGTTCTTGTGCTTCTTCAGACATTTGTCCAATCGGTAACAATGCGTAACTTATTATTTCTGGGCCGTGTATTAAAATTTTGTGCACCGAAGTTGGCATGTAATACCACGGATATAGTTCGACGAATCTTGTTGCCACTTCAACAGCGTACTTTTTAAATTCGACCAAATTTACATCGTGGCCACTTGAAATTGCTTGCAGTATTGCGAAAAAACTTTTAATTAAATCTTCATCAACTCCAGTTATTGATGCCGATATTTGGTAGTTTTCAAAGAAACGGCGAGCCGTATTACCATCATTGGTGCTACCAAATCCAGGTTTCGGACGGTCTACTAATAGCCCCAGTTGTAGTTGAAAACCTCGTTGAATAATTTCTTTACGGTCTTTCACTATCTGTTTTTCTTCGGTGCTGCGAGCTTGCCACTTCTTTGTTGGTAGCTTGTATGATAAGTGCAGACAACATTCAAAAAAGCGTATCCATGCATGTAGCGTTGACAATCCAAAGCGAAGATAACATTCATTAATTTCTTGTTGCAGCATTTTATTAACATCATTGAATTGTTTTGCTGTTGCTCCGCACAAATAGCAGCGTTGAGTGGACAAGGTGGATGAGATCGCGTTGCATACCTTACGATCAATCATGGTTAACGCAAGTTTATACGAAATTGAAATTTCTTTCCCATCTATTATCGTATCGAAGGGAACAAGTTTTTTTATTTGTTCTTCAATATATTTTGTTTCGTTTATATTTACTTCCGTGCTTTCTTGAGTAAACTGAATCTTGATGGGCCTACAAAATCGAGGGGATGATGGCTTTGCATTCTTCCATACAATGGTTTTATCTCCAGATGTAAGTTGTAGTGGCACAAGTGATGTCAGAAAAATATCTGAATCGGATTTTCCATCAACAGTAAATATTTGTTTGTACATACTTTGACTGGAACTTCCATCACATCCCCACTTGCAAATCAAAGTCATTTGTCGTACCTTTGATGGGGTCAAAATTTTAATAATGTCATTCTGAATTAACAAAATCCGTTGAATTGAATGATCCAATAAAGCTTGCAGTTTTACCTCTGCACTATATTCTGTAATTGTAATATCCACTGCGGACGGATAACATTTTCTTTTGGCTTCTAATACCATGTTGTATGGCGGATATAAATTGCAATTATTTTCCTTACTTGTAGTCCGCAATCCTAGATATTGCCTCTTAGATAATTTATTTTCAATTATCAGTGACAGAGCAGCATCACCGGACAGTGTTGTTTCAACAACTTTCTCCACAGATCTTCTGTAAACTGTAGCTCTTGATGTATTCGGTGAAGTTATATCTTTTATAACTTTCGAAGCGTCTACTTCTCCTGCACTTCGAAGACTCATCTGTATAGCGTAAGACAATTGTTCGGGAGAAAAGTTTCTTCGAATTTCCTCGGTTTTTCTTCGTTTAGACCTTTCACTTAAGCCGTCGAATTGTGAAAAAGGTCGACCAGGTCTCTTTTCAGATGATTCTGTAATTGCGGCTGGTATGCGGATCGCTAGTGAAACACTGAGCCATTCTGTGTTTTTCTCCAAAAAAAATTTCTCGCATCTACTTGATTTGATCCATTTCTTCTTCATGATAGAAAATAGTTTGGCAAAGAAAGAAATTCTTTCCTTTTCGATTATTTTGATCATGTGTAACGTTTTCTGACTTAGCTGCTCCTCTAAACATTGAAGAATATCCCTCGTTGGGTGATTTAAATGGCCTTTTACCATGAAATAAATTTCTTTTCTGGTCAAAATTATTTCACTATTGGAAGATGCTGTAAATAAATAAAATTACAATATATTATACATAATTATACATAAATTACAATATATTTAAAACACACTGTTCAAGAATTAAAGCAAAAGCTTTAAGATTATTCATTGTAGGCTATTTTTTGCTTGCTCTCTATTGGTTTGCTATATAGGGTGTTCGGCCATCCCTGGTCAAAAATTTTAATGGGAGATTCTAGAGGCCAAAATAAGACGAAAATCAAGAATACTAATTTGTTGATTGAGGTTTCGTTAAAAAGTTATAGAAACATTTCCGGCCACACAGTATATTTTCGGTAAAGAATTTTTTTCACGAAAACACGTCGGATTTCGGAGGTATGTGTATTCACCAAAAGTGATTATAATTGAGCCCCGCAACCAAAAATAATTTTTTCAGAATGATTTGAAATTCTTTAATTTAATTTTTTAATAACTTTTTAATGAAGCCTCAGTGAAGAAATTGATACTCTTGATTTTCGTCTTATTTTGGCCTCTAGAATCTCCCATTAAAATTTTTCCCAGGGGTGGCCGAATACCCTGTATAAGTAAAAAATCTAAATGAAAACAAAAGGAAGAGAAAACGAAAGGCAATACCGCACAAATGTTTTATGTCTGTCATAAAGTCAGGCAGGTATAAGGCACAATTTACAGCTTACAGCAGTGCCTTCATATTATTTGATTCTTAGTGCTTTTACATGGCAAATGCGAAAAAATGTTTTAGTTTGGAATTCTCAAATTTTATTAACTATTTTCGAAATAAATAATTTTTCATGTAAATAGTTTAATGCAGATTTATAGTCAATAATGAAGTAGATCAACTGGTTCATTGAAAAATATACAATATTTAATAATGAAAAATTATTTATGCATTAATTTAAAAATTTATTAAATCTAATAATAAGTCCACCCAAAATTATACATTATTTATTTTAAAAAATTTGTTGTATCTGCCACAGTTTCCAAGAAAAAACCGCGTGATTTAGTAACTCGGTCACCCTCCATTATAAAATAGGGTGGTACGACGTTACTTGCAAAAACTTGCAGTGGGATCTTGAAGGATGAGCAACTTTTTGCCTACTTGTTTGCGATGCATGCATGAAATTTTACATTTTATTTTCAGTAATGAATGTACCGGTTTAAAAAATTAATGGATAACAATTTTTAATATGTTAGTACTCAGAAATGTTCTACTTACTTCCAGGAACAGCATCCATTTTGCAGAATTGAAATTGATGTCTTCTAAAAAAACTTATGCACTTTTCACTCTGTGGTACGAATTGACGCTTACGCTCTCGACAAATGACTGACTTACGAAGCCGAAGTTTGGATCGCAATTGCCATCCAGGTATAAAAATATGACTCATTTCATTTTCCCTACCCTAAAGAGACATCCTTAAACTGCCGATTCCAACAGGTAAAACCTCCATACCGTAAAATTATTTTTTGGGGTTTTGGCCACGATTTCACGATTTGGGACCACTGTGCAACGGATCAATATTAAAATAATTTTTAATGTTCACAGCCATTTCCCCGGCTTGAAAGAAACTTTCCACCCGTCTTTTACTTTTGCGTCGCCACGCGGTTAACCTCAATTTCCATCCACTCAAATCGGGCAGACTGGGCCCATAACCTGTTGTTACTTTGGTTTATAGCAAGACTATATCTCTGTCAGATATTAATTATACATATATTTGTTTCTAAACTTCTTGTCTTATCTTAACACACTTTTCTCTGTTCTCTCTATAATTTTTCCTTACATTCGTTCTTTTTCCGTCGCTTCTGTTCGAGCGTCTTCTGTCTTTTTTTCTTCATAGGTGACACCACTCATCCACTCTACTCACACACACAGACTGACACAGACATAGAAACAGAGGGAAGAGAAGCATTATGTATATCTTTAACAGGCCATTTTAGAGTCTGGTATCGTTTTGCGAATTGATGTCTGGTAGTTAGTTCGCAAGTTATACTTTTTCGTGGCCTAAGTTTCTTCCCAAAGAGAGCTTTAACACGCTGTTTTGTAACTTTAATTTTAAACAACACATTAAAATGAAATCTTATTTTCAGTAGTAGGGAAAGGAAGGAATAAAAATAAGACACGTGTTACTGAACATAAGTTTGCTAAACATTTAAACATATTTATAGAGATTTTAGTTCTTAAAATATTCTAAGCTAAATACATTTTTGAATCTTTCAAAAATGAATGAACAATTTTCTCTCATAGGAATCTTATGGAACAATTCTAAATTCGTAGCCATAAGCTCGGTGTTACCCATGAAGAACTTTTTTGCTGCGAGCGAAAACAAAGTTCCGAAATCAGGTAAGTTTAGATTATACATATTAATCAAAATAAACAATTAAAGTAAATCGAAGGAGGCCATCACTATTATTTCTAAATACTTTTGTTGAAATCGAAGCTGTACAATAAATTTTCATAATCGATTTTCTGGGAAACAAAGCCTTGAATGAAAAAATTTATTTTTTATTTTTGATTTGTTTTTCCATGTAAAATCATCCCCTTCTCGGTTGTACCATCAGTACTGGAATAACCCGAATAAATATAATTAAAAACGTTTGGTGACATTTATCTTAGCAAGTGTAGTACACTCAGTGTACATAAATTACCAATTCACGCCTCAAGAATTGAAACAGAATGGAAAGCTATGCTATCGCATTTCGCTCTGTGAGCTTACAAAAGTACAATGATAATAAATTATTAAATAATTAATCGTTTGTCTTAAATCTTTATACATATATACAGCCACAGTTTTCACTTAGGTCACCTTTGACTACATTTAATAATATTATTCGAGATACAAGATTTAACCTTTCCTTCGGGAGTACGAAGCCATGATCACCCCCCGCCCGCCCGCCTCTCTCAATAATTCGTAACGACAACGGCTGATGTGCGGGGAGGGTAGTCATTCGTTCCCTGGAAATAAGCGTGGTAAGACGCCGTTGATAGTTCCGCTTCTAATGAGTTACGTACTTTTTACTTGTTGTTATCTAAATGTTTTAAAGCGTTATTAGCACTGTCCCTGACTCTCTATCGGTGCCGTTATTGGATATTAGTACATATGTTTCTATTATAAATTCAGTCAGGATTGCGAAAAAAGTTGAATCAGTTTCACGTCTTCCCTTTCGTGTCTAATCGGTATCGATTATCATATCTCAAAACGAAATTAAAGTCTCATAGAACATATTTCGTGTTTAATTATCATTTAATTACAATATAGGTACATTTATTTTAATGCATTCGATCGACATTTGTGTTTTATTTCTGTTACAGACTTTGAGTGGAATTCGAATGAAAATAACGCTACCGGCACGCAATCGATGTCCTGATCCCGCGAAATTTCGAATCAGCCGAATTGGAAATCGAATATTTTCTATGAAAAATACAAAATTAGAAAAAAAAAGAAAAAAAATATATAAGTATCATCGTGTTTTATTCTATATACGTTTAGAAGAACAGATAATAATTCTTTTTTTATTTCTTTACAGACTCTTTGGATCTCATCCTCCACGAATCGAGAAGAACCATAATAACTCTGCTGATGACTTCCACAGTCTTTCTCTGGAAAACTGCATCATTATTGATGGTACTACATACCTCATCATGCTCGAGGATGGGCGAGCTGCATGCAACGTTTGCGTGAGTAGTAATTTACATTGTTTTATTTGTTTAATTCAGACTGTAGTACTCTTATAGTCCACGTTTTTAATACGATAAATAAATGATCGCCCAAGAGTAGTTAAAACATTTAAATTAATAATTTAATGAACTTATTTCAATTTATCTTAAATTTTCAAAGTAAATTATTATATCGTGAAGTTTTGATTAAAGTCTTTTTTCTTAAATAATTACATTTTAATCAGAACAATTTTTCTTTAATAATAACGTTTTCGTCATAGGGTTGTGCGAGTTCTTTTATAATACGTGCCCGTTATTTTCGGGCGCGCATTATAAAAGAAGTCGGAAGAAAGATTCTAATAAAAGAGTCATTACAATATATTTTATCAAATTTAATAAAGCTTGGTACATTGATAAAAAATGAAAACAAATGTTATTAGTTTAATATATATTTCCTTTTTTCTAATAATGTAGATAGTAACTTTTATTTATTCGTTTCAATAATATAAAACAATATAAAGGCCTCTCTAATTATTTTTATAATTATCTATTCGTTTAGCAAAGTTTCTTGCTTTTATGATGTAATACATTTCATGGAATTGCTATATTTTCTATACGCATCAGTGTAATGATTTTACGGTCGAAACTATAATAAAAGAAATCAGAGTTAATTACGTTTGAGTATAAATCGCGATTAAATGTAGATTATGAACATATAGTTGAATTTTGGAAATTCTCTAGATATGTGAATTTGTATTAATCACGAAGCATTTATACATCAATATACGTTTGTGTATATGTACACTGTTATGTAATAGTTTCTTAGCTACATAGTCCTTAATTAAGTCGAATATTTCAAAATAACATTTATCAATTATTTTAACAAAGATAATTTTGCACAGTATCATTTTACGTTTACATTTAGAATATTTTTATTTCAGATAAGTTTACTAAGTAAACAGAGAATATAGGGAATTTGTATACAAGTATATTGTATACAAATGCATCCACGTATTACGAAACTAGGCTATATAAAATAATAAAACATTCAAATGCCATAAGTATCATGAATAATTCGGGCTAATTGTAAAATATATATTGATTTTATTACGATAAAATTATATGTGAACGATATATAAATGAACAATAAAAGAATGTATTAAATCACGTCTTCAAGGTGATTGGGAAACATAATACATCTACCACTTTGTTTCGATTCCATTAGAATGTTTAAATGTTTGCATTAATTCAATATACGAGATATTTTTAAATGATGGGACTTTCACGTGAAGGGAAATTGAAAAATTATACCATTTTGTGCACTGGGACTTGTTTGTTCAGATACATATAAACGTTTCAAATTTACAGGCATGTAGACTTTAATACGGTTTTATACTAATTTCAACAATTCTTCGTACATTGAAACCGCATATTTTTTGTACCTTGTAATTGTAAACATATTCATTGTATAATCACATTCTAAGTAATCGTAGTAGAAATCATTTTCAATTACAGTACGTAGTTTTAGTGTGCAAAGAATGATTAAAAGTATGTGTTTTTTTGGCGTAAATTTAAACCACTTATACCTCGGTAACAAAGTCCCCGATCACAAAATGGAACAGAACTTTGTGATTCTCCCTTGCATAAAGAATTAGTTTGTTTCTCATCATTTTATATAATTGCAACAAAAACATTAATTTTTTTGCATACTTTATACATAGCGCTCGTGTCTTAACTTCAAGAATTCTTGCTTATTAAATACAGAGCGTGTAAAAAAAGTCTTTTGCCTTCCTTCCGTCAGTCTCTCGGTTTTCCAACATAAAACACTCACAGACTCTTTCTACTTTTGTCACTTAATTTTCTCTAATATACATACCGCATGTGGAAACATTGCAGAGACTGTGCTTGAATTTTGTTAGAATTTTGTGTATTTCTCAACACATCAGAAATGCTATACAAATTCGAAATTTCTTCGATCACACAAATACAAAGAATGATCATAAAAGACTTTCCTTTTCTGATCGGCAACGAAGTGAATTTTACGCTAAGCGGACGGTCTTTGCAGTTCATCCGCGTACTTTCTTACATAAGTCATGAAATCCACTAATGCAGTAGACATTGATTTATCTACTATTTTCTGTGGTAGCCATCCTTTCAAATTTGTATTGATAATCCACGTGAACCGACATTTATTTTGTTCATTAGGCAATTCTTCTGCGGCCCAACAGCTTATATTGTTCTCAGCTCTGTGACAAAATATTCGATGATCAATTACGATGTAAGAAAGTAGTATTTTATCGTTAATATTTATTTTATTTTATGTAATTTACCTAACAACATTACTGCGACTTGGTAACGATGAAAATGGTACCGATGTACCAGTGTTGATATAGTAGTTACCATACTGAACACGGTGTCTCAGAATAACAAAATCTCGAGCACCAATAATACCACCACCTTGAGGACTCGTAGCTTGGTAAACAATATCCGTGTTATTATCAATATGCTAATCAACAAACAAGTAAAATAAAACAATGTAGCTGCAATGGGAAATAGAAGATCAAAATTAAATCCATATTACTTGTATCTTTTTCGACTCTGTGACGAGCTTATTCCACGACGGTAGCGATTCAATCTCATCGAATAATTGATCTACAAGTACAGTGGCAGAGGCATCGACCTCTCCCTAAAAGTGATATTTAATCAAATTAGTTAAATACAATATAGAAATTTGAAATTTAATGTTTCAACGAGGCTCACCACTATTTTTAAAATTTTTCCTTCTGGCTTGGGACGGTCCATGTAAAAAATAATGTCACTGTTTGGCATTATACTTTCAATTTGCCAATTTTTAGATTGCAATAAATCGTGACAATTTTGCACTAATACAAATACTTTTCTCTTGTAGTTTTCTATCTGTAGATAATAGGGGAAAGTTCAAGCTGTTTAATAATATAGTTTAAATATTTACACAAGCTTCCCAGATCAATATACAGAGTTTAAAAATGAAAATAAGACTTGTAACAAGAAAATGGCCACCACTTATTACTAAATAACTTGTATATAGTTGGCAGTCAATATGTTAAATTTGTGTCTAGAAATAATTTTCACTTACCATTGCAGGTGTAAGTGGCGTTAACGTCTTAGACACTAGCATGTCATTCGATTTTAACATATTTCTAGAAACCCCTTGTCTTCTTGAGCCTTCATCCTCATCATCAGAATGATTTGGGGAGTCCATAGGCGTAAAAAATGTACCAGTAGGGGGTTCGATGCTACTGTACTGTGTCTCTGAAGTAACGCCACGTAGAAGCGGTTGTCTTTCATTTTCTGAAAAATCTGAAAATAAATAGTAACGATCGTTTAATATTTTTAGGAACTTTCATAATAACAAATTAAGAAAGTGGCGTACTGCTAAACCAATTTCTAGCTTGCGTTTCTTGGGGTAAAACGCGGATATCGAGAAACCAAGCTTCCACCCAAGGCAATACAAAAGATGTGAGGATGAGAAGAACTTGAAATACTGGCTGATTGCTCGTTGACCACTGAAAATAAGAGCCGTGAAATAACAATTTCATCGTCTTACATTTATATTTTACATATCTCACAACTTACATCAAAAAGGAACACTTTGACAATTAAGAAAGCACATGTGATAGCGGTGGTTAACTATAACAAACGATATAATACATTGTATATTGTTGCACGACTAACAGGAATGCAATTTTTAATAAAATCGTCGCACTTACAGCTACGATGATCCAATGATTCAAATGGAGCAGCGAGTAGGACATCAATAAGATCGTAAACCTGCAAATCGCTGCCATCTGAGGAGACAAAATCTATAAAACCTTTGATCCTTGACAAACAATGAAACATTATGACGAACTGAATATGATCTTCGACAAAAGACCTTGTTCGAAGTCGATAAAATCTTCTATGGATTCACTTTATCTTTTGAGCGTTTATAGATCTATTTAACCATCACAAATTTATTAATTTATCTCGTAGTAATTAACAAATTTTGTACTATAATTTGAATGCTTCTTCTTTAAATTTTTGCTATATACATATACAGGGTGTTCGGCCACCCCTGGAAAAAATTTTAATGGGGGATTCTAGACCAAAATAAGACGAAAATCAAGAATACCAATTTGTTGATTGAGGTTTCGTTAAAAAGTTATTAACGTTTAAAGTTCCGCCCGTACTGAATTTTTGTCTTGAAAATGCGCAGGATTTCGGGGGTATGTCTATTCACCAAAAATGATTATAATTGACCCCCGCAACCGAAAATAATTTTTCCAGAACGATTTGAAATTTTTGAATTTAATTGTTAACAACTTTTTAACGAAACCTCCATCAACAAATTGGTATTCTTGATTTTCGTCTTATTTTGGCCTCTAGAAACTCCCATTAAAATTTTTCCCAGGTGGCCGAACACCCTGTATATTCAAAAACTAAAATCGTGGAATGTCTGAAAATATTTTAGTACGGACATGACCAGTATCAAAATTGCACAGCTCAATTTTTTCCCAGCCTTAGGGACCTTAAAAATCTTATACAGCTCTGCACAAGATGCATTAAATTATCTTTGACACTATTTAAAATTTTAGCATGAAGTTATATTCGAAGTTTAATAATTTTTTCCCGCTAACATGATAATTATATTTCCACAGTTATTTGCATCCAAATGTAAAGAAAAATATTTGGTATTAAATTGGTATTAATAAAACCGCCGTAGAAATAGTGTTAATCGTAGAAAAGTTATAAATTTAATTTGATTTTGATTTAGGGGGAAATTGATAAAAGCTACATATAGATTTCGAATAAGGTCTTTTAACACTTTGAGCGTCAAAGGTATTTTGAACGCGTTTTCTACGAAGCCCGAAATGCTCGTCATGACCTAACCCAGATCCGCAGCACGATATAAACAACGACTATTGTGTTATTATAAACATAACAGTTTAACAGCTTCCAAACTCTCATCATATTATAATATATTATAAAAGGCAAAAGAAAAAGCAACAACGCACGAACGGAAAAGTTATGCCTTATCTACAAAGGCTACATAATTTACAAACAAGTGTGAAAGTCGTTCGTATTCGAATGAATAAGATCGCCTTTCGTTTCTGAGAGGTACAGTAAGCGAAATTCATATAAACGCACTTCAAATTTTACGAATTGTTCCTCTTATTTGAAAGTAGAAAACTGACAACGTTGTCAGAAAGCTTTATTTTGTTTACATAGCTTCGATTGTCAACGTTCCTATGTTTCAATTTGTTTAACTTACTTATACTATAGTCAAGAAGCTGAGTAAAACGTTCATAATAGTGTTTGCAAGCGTGGAATTCGTATAAACGCAGTGCTTTGTTTCGATTAATATTGAAAGAAATAAAAGTGGTAAGTACTTTATATTGTTGAATTGCGTAGTATTAAATTGTATTTAGTAATACATTTAATAATACATTTGTTTTAATAAGAAGGAGAAGAATGCCAAGAGGAAATTTCCTTAGCGAAGGCAAAAAAGCTACAATAGCAATTTTAAATAAAAGAGGCGAATCAAATAGAAAAATAGCAAAGGAAATTCATCGTTCAGAGTGTGTAGTACGAAATTTCTTAAAACTGAAAGAAAATTATGGAAATAAATGTGTTACGACAGAAAATTCTAAAATAACGAAACGGGAGAAGAATATTATTTTCTATGAAGCTACAAAAAATGGATTAGTTGCAAGTCAAATTGTTGCGAAAATGCAATTATCAATCACAAAGCGCCGTGTTCAACAAACTTTACATAATAAGCCGAACGTAGTTTTTAAGAAACCACAGAAAAAGCCGATGTTGAAAGCGCATCATAAGGTTGCTCGACTGGAATATGCAAAAAACCATATGCACTGAATTGATGAATGGAAGAAAATTATTTTTTCGGTCGAGAAGAAATTCAATTTAGACGGTCCAGATGGATACAATTCCTACTGACACGATTTACGTCAAAAAAATGACCCTAAATTATCTAGAAATTTCCATGATGGAAGTGTAATGATTTGGGGAGCATTTTCTTCATACGGAAAACTAAAACTTTGTTTTATTGAGAGCAAAATAAATTCAGAAAAGTACGTCGACATGTTAGATGCAGCGTTAATTCCATTTTTGGAAGATACAGTTGGCGAACGTGAATTTATATTTCAACAAGACAACGCGGCAATCCAATATTATCCTTTGACCCCCTGACCCTCTGACTCCCATTCGGGAGTCAAAATAAAAAAACGCCAAAAAGGTAAAAAATGGTTCTCTTTTTCATTGTACAAACATGAAGCACCGTCGACATTAGCATTACCCAGTGTGCACCACAAGAAGGTTGCTCAATCGGATTTTCCACACCATGTGGCCCTGAAGAGGGCCGTTTCTATAGTTCTTTCTATGTATTCGACCATAAGAATCTCAACATTCATACTGTCTTGTTGATCTCTATTAGCGGCATCTCTGGTCATATTTAGAAGATTGCCATCCGAATATTTGACATGCCTTTGATGACGAGCAAATCCTAAAAACCTTAAAACCGGATTGACAGATGCACTAGTAACCATTTATTACTTCCTCTTCTAGTTCCAGTTCATTTTTGGGAATATGAGAAATAACAACTTGATATTTGGTACGATTCCGAAATTGTGAATGAACTTTTAGTCTTCTAAAGCTGTTATCTACCAACGAATATAGTCCCAAAAATCATATTTCTGTAAGTGCGTTTGTACGAATTTCGCTGACTGTATGTGTGTTCAGTAGAATGGAGAGATGCGCCACGTCAAAGTGTTATTTGATCGAACATAGCAACAGCCACGAGTACTCACCACAATGTCGAAAAGCGAAGTTTTAATGTGATAATGAACAATTTGATTCATGAAGGCGGACTTCAAACTCTCGCCGGCGATCTGAAAAAAACGTTTCGAGCGTAAATACGCGCTGTATGCATTTACAGAGGGGGTAAAAACGGTTATAATATCGGTTTAAATTTTTTGAAATAGTTATTTTCGGAACCGTTTCAACCACTGATTTTATAGTCGTAACTCAAACGACCGTGAAAACAATCTCTATCAATCAGAATATTGGATTTACCATGGTGCAAATGAGCCACATGAGAAAAATGAACAGAAAGTCAAAGGTGACGAAAAGGCAGAAGAATCGCCTAATGCTCGACATCCTCCCGTTTTGCATCACACCAGCGATAAGATCCTCGCTCACTATGAAATCTGGCGTTCGGTTTATGCTCCGCTGAGTGATCGAACTCCTTTGAGAGTTAATAGAACTCTTTAACAATAACTCTGCGGCCACTCTAATTTGCCGCTCATCCTCTGCCATTCTACCAGTGTACCTTCGATATCCCCAACAATGGCCTGACAGTAACAATTAAAACACGGATTAGTAATACCACGAACGGTTTCACGCGTTGACCAAACTTATATATACTTTAATTGCACTTGAATTAAATAAATTGTGCTTTATATTTCTCAAACCAGATTTCCTCCATCTCTTTCTACCATCAAAAGCAATAGAGATACTTAATACTTTAATGGCCGCACTAATATTGTAGACCAAAGTAAGATACATGAAGATGTTAGGAATATTATTAACAAGGAATTATAAATGTAACCTTAACAAATGTAATAAGTTAAATGTATGATGAAATGGTGACTGATACAGTAGATCACGTACACGTGACAGTGGCCAACGTTTACTAGCTCGCAAAGTCACGTATACGTGACAGCGGCCATCAAAGTGTTAAGATGCTGGAGGACGAATTTTCCGTATCCAAGGTCGTTTGAAGGTCACGTTAAGCTACATCATTAAATTAGTCTTGACCTCCACTATTACGTCACGGTGATAAAAATGTGTAGTTCTATTCAAAATACTGTCTGATAATTTTTTGTATACTATAACAAAATTGCTTTAAATAGATACCATAATCGAGATTCTTCAATGAAAATTGCATTTCTATAGATTAATTTGACAATTTATGCTTCTTGTATTAAAAACAGACCATTTTAAGAATATTTTGCCGTAATACGATCGTGGACAATCTTGATAGATGTCACTAAATGATTCAGTTTTTAAATGTTTTATAAAGTTTCCTGTCTAAAATATCATTACAATATTTGCAGAGAAGTTTTACATCTATATTATTATTTATGACCGGAAATTAATTAGCAAAATCACTAATAAGTTGTAAATTAATTTTCATTGCGATTAAAAAAAGTAATTTTCAAGTTTAATACATTTATAGTTGCAACTACGACTCGAAACATGTTTCATTTCCCTTTAACTTCAACTGTGGGTCGACCGTATTAATAAATTGAAAGTTCAATTTTTTGCTGAAACGATAAATCTGAATTATTCATGAAACGAAAGTTGACGCAATATTACGACAATATTTTCGTCCCAACGCGTAATATTGGATAAGAGTTCACGATAAGGGTGGTACAATTCGAAAAAGCAGAATTTTTGTTTAGAAACATATTGTATAATGAAACAATAACAATGAAATAAACTGATTAAATATTTCGAACGGGTTGTGTTTAGTGATAAAAAAAAAACTGCTTCGCAGTACATTAAGCCTACAATTTAATCAATTACACTTATTGTGAACAAGCGATTTATTTGATGGCTTTCGTTTAGCTTCAATGTAAGATAACAGCTCACAATACTTTTTACTTTTGCATATTTACATTTTACAGACATTTTATTTCAACAATAAAATGAACTCTTTTGAATTACATTTGCTTATTCGTATAAAAAAAAAATTGTTTATCAAGAATTATAATTATAATTATTGATTTTTTTTCTTTTTATAACTGCGAGCATTTTAGTTTTCGCGTACAACGAAAGTTACGATTCTCAGCATAATTTACAAGAATTTTCTTCAATCGAATAATAATAAAAAGATACTTACATTTTGAATATATGGTGATAAACTAAATACAGGAAATAAATAATGAATACTGCGATAAACTATGAATTATATCGAGTAGATTGTGTTTACGATAATACTAATAATGAATACAAATAATTATTTATCGTAAACGTTCCTTGTCTAAACCTTTAAGTCTCGACATTTTTTACGTTCCGCGATGGTAAAAAAAGTTCGAACGAAATCTTTACTCTTTTGGTTTTTATAATAATTAATATTGATCGATCGGTAATTTGTTAATCAAGACTATTAATATGCAAACAATTCACTGAATACTTGATCTTGCTTATTTTCGATTATAAGTCACGTTATAAACAAATAATAAAAGATACATATTAATCTTTTTGTAAATTTAAAATACAAATTTATACTGAAAGAAAAAGAAAACATTTTGCATTAATTGAGAGACTATTCAAATTTTAAGCATTAAAAACGTGAAATACATGATAGCTGATAAAGTAAGAAACATTATATATTTCCTTGTCTTGCGTCAATGTTCTCATATCGGTATTTATATTAATGATTCAAAATCGGAAAAATCATCGATAACATTTTGATAACGAAAAAACTTTTGTAGTTGGTTCATAATGATACATCCTAACCTCAAAATTAACGACATTCAGACGATTGAGACTGTCGGTTTTCCTCTTGCCATCGTGCTACTCTTGTACGATTAAATTAAAAAAAAAAGGATCCATTTGTTTAACAAGGACGAAACTCATGAATCATGATATTACGATTGCTTTACAAAAATTTTGTGCGACCGCTGGACTATTGTTTACCGTTCAATTCCTGTAAGTCATAAATCCGAATCCAGTAGCGAAAACCCAACAGTCAATATGTTACACTCGCGCATTATTTCGTTAAACACAGTTCTTAAAGGGATTTAAAAAATTTTAATTAGCACCACCAATGTCACTTTTGTTGTAGCAGGGGTAAACACAAGCAATAGTAGTAATTTATCTAGGTACTCGAGTCATCTGTAAATTCTTTACTTAGACGAGGGCGACGCTACGAGATACGTGAAGCAAACTAACATCACTCGGTTAGGTTCCTATCAACAAATGTTAACATGCTTTTATTCAATTTATATCAATAGTGCATTTTCTGACACACCATAGACGAAATACACAAGTAGACTCTAGATCTAGAGACCCATTATCATTTCAGTCAGAGTCGCTTCGTATGGAAAGTCAATGAATCTTCAAAAAACGCCCAGGTCCGATTTCGAGAAATGTAAGGTCTGTCAGTCACGATGGCTTTTGTCGTTTACTGACGATTCGAACGGTTGGCGATGCCAGGCTTGCTTTCGAGAAATGTAAACGACGTCTGCGATGCAAGAGCGAGAAGGAAAGCGAGTATCAGCCTGTTCTTCTCGGCTCTTCCGAAACTCAACGAGCTCACGTACACGCAATTGAGCATAGTGTGCGAAAGCGAGGAATGAGGAGTTTCCGGGGCCCCGATGCACAGTCTGATTAAACTGATTTCGAGTCGCAAATACGTTTCTGCGAGTTATTTTTTTAATAAATGATGTATTACAATTTAAAATAAAAAATAGAGAATTTGCGGTGTACGTATCAATGAAATACATCCTTATGAATTTTAATAATCTTGAAATTTTTAAATACTCTTAATCGATTGATTTCTCCAATGAAATTAATCGATTAATGTCCAATGATGGACCCTACAGCTTTAATTCCGTTAAAAAATAATAAAATTTATGTAATTTTATTTTTTGTCTCATTTCCTCTTGTGTTAATTTCTGAATCTGTTGATAACGTAGCGAGTGACACGAAAATGGTAATGGGGTCCCGGGACCCCAGAAACTCCGGCCGAAAAATTACATTACGTGAAACGTCTATTCATATATCTCGTCTGTGGTGAAAGGTCTATTCATATATCTCGTCTGTGTAGTTGGTATTGAACTGAAATACCGACATCATAAAAATCGATAGTTTTTGATAGATCTCTTCGTTTAAGAGTGATCATTTTGAAAAAGTAGATTAGACAATTTAGAGGGATTTGTTGTCATAAAGATTAAGAGATTGTGAGAATCCTTATCATTTCCGTGTCACTTCTAGCATTATTCGGAATAGCATTTCCACTCTCCAAGCGTTTAAAATTGAAACTAGATATTGGGGAAATTATTTCGGAATCCAAGAAATTCATATAAGGTTATTAGGGTATTGATAAAATCTAATTTATTGTAGCAACATGTGACTAATAATTTATTTTTATTTTTTTTTAAATTGTAAGATGGCAAAGGATCTTGCAATCGATATTCCTTTGGACTGTATATGTATCTACATTCTACATATATGTTCGTATCGATCATCAAAGACGCACTTCGACATCAGTATCGATTTATGAAAGACACGATCCTTTTAGAAATCACGTTTTATTAAAGGTTAATTATTCATAAACATATTTTGAAAACAACCGATATGTAAATGGTTATTAAGAATTTCGAAAACGACAAGACTACGTTAAAGAAAAAAGTATAATCATTTATTTATATTATATACAACTATTACATTGGTTCTGTTACTGTTCTGATAAAATGCAGTACGAAAAAATCGTATATTCGATAGTGTTGCTTATTTATTATGGACATTTAAAAGTCGTTAATAATCTTTTAATTTTACTTAATTAAACGCCCATTTAAAATACAGAAAAACGTTCATCTTTTTTTCTTTGTTTAAGGTACAAAAGTACTATTGTATACTTTGGTTTTCGTTGATTTCTTCATTTCAGTCATCTACATTCATGACCTCTTAACACCTTGTGAGTAATTAATAACCTTCAATCTTGAAGGACCAAAGATCTCAATGAGTCTTCAGCATGAATTTCCATTACTGCCGTTGCTCCAAAATTAAAAGGAACAGCTATGCCACCGTCGAGAACTAGTCCGCCATCGAAACACTGTGATCTGACTGTTAATGTACGACAAAATCCGCGGGAATGAAAACACTTTGGTATAGGCCAGTGATCGGTTACTATCATATCTCTCACAGCATAACACAGTTTAAATTCCTCTGAAATACGAACCAGAAATTAACATTCTATGATCATGCTATTACCCAATACACTTACCAGCATCAAAATGTAGGCTGCTATTGAAGGTGTTACAAATTTTGTTAATTTCTTCTTTACTAATATCTTGTTTTTCTCCTACGAGATTCAATATCTGTCGTACAATTTGCGAATTGACACTATTTATCGATTTGTGCCAGGATGTTGATCCTGTTCCAGTGCTAACACATAATCCAGAGCTTTTTAACATATGAAACTTCTCCTCGTCATCTATTTTAACGAGCAAGTCACTTGTCCTAGCTGACAACGTTTCTGCTATAAAGACCTAGTTATAAAAAAGAATTAAATTCTGTTAGTGTTTAACGATTCGTAAATTAAAAATAAGAACTGACGAAAACTAAAACTTACTTCATTTAATGCCAACCAGGGCAGACGCCTCTCTTTTGGTAAATTATTGGGTGGTCCTTTGTTCATGTCCTGCATGTAGAATCTATAAATAAGAAATAATTGAAATATGTTCGATTTATGTTACAGAGTCATTCCATGAGAAATCGAACATAACATTACGAATTTTGAAAATTATTAATTTTACACGATATTATAATTTTAACGATAATTATTATTATTAATTATTAATTACTATAATTTTAACGATATTTTAAAAGGTATTCGATTTCGCACGGAATGTACTTATACAAAAAAAAAAAAGTTTGGTTTTATTACTTTTCACCACCCGAAACACGACCTTTTTCATGTGTGTGAAAAGGGGCTTCCCAGATGGCATCTCCACATAAAGTTGTTCGAATTCTTCTCCTCATTATTACACGATAATGGCCGGCTTTTAACTTCTCGAAAATTTCAGGTGCTCTTGTTGTATATTTTGGTGGTAACATAAGAAATCCTTCTGACCATTCTGGATACGAATTAATACCTATTATTGGTTTTTGGCTATCAAATATCAAATTTGATGCTAACAAAAATGTACCATCACCACCAATTGGGAGGATTAAATCAGCCCAATTAAAGTTTGATTGGTCAAGATTTTGTCTGTAACACATTGCTAGTCAAATGTATGAATGAATAATGTATTAATCGTATTAGTTTATTTTTCATTGTACAAGATTTGATTTAAAATATTTGTAAACCTGATATCTACCTGTTTATTAATTTATATTCTATGTTTAACTTTCTCAAGGTTTCAATCACTTGATGTTGCACATTTTTTGTTGCAATATGACTGGCCAACATAGCATCATAATTAGAACCTCTTTCCAATAGCTTTTGTTTTAACTGTGCTTCAGTTAAGTCAGGCTCTCTCAATTTTTCAAAATAGTATCGTGACAATTTTGCCACAATAAGTACATGCTTTGGTACAAAGCTTGATTCATTTCGTAGGAATGATCGAAGACCAGTGCAAACATTGTATTTGCATGGTTGCAAAAATTGAAAGGATCCTGAAATTGTACAAAATATTAATATAAATTACTAAAACCTATTTTAAAAATTATAGTAAAAAATATTGTACAGATTAACAAAATAATTTTAGATCTTTTTATTTTGATTTTATTTAGAAACGTTCGAATTATTCTATAATTTATTATTTGTTCATGTGTTTAGAAATATAAACAATCGTCCAATTTTTCGATTCTAAAGTTCCATAAATGAATAAATAACCGAAACATTGTACTTTGATACTTCGTTTATAATACATCTATTGACGAATGATTGACAATTGAGACTGACCGATACGAAAAGCTGTTAAAACTAAAATGCACACCAAAAATTATTGCGGCAAATTGTCTTTTGTTTCGCGTGTTTTCATATGTAGAAATCTGTTGACATTATGCTGTCATCGAAGGAATCAAACGGTTAAAATTTACTTACTGACAGATCTTCGAAAATGACTGAACGTCGTCATTGCATACTGTTCGAATAATTTATGCGATAAATGGATACTAGCAACAATATAAAAAAAGACATGAGATAGCATTAAAATGTTCCTAACCTCTCCGTCAATGCTTGAGTCACATTCGACTCTGTAGTCTATACTCTGTACAAACGAAGAAGAGTCAGAAAAAATAAACAAAAAGTTCACGTGATCGGCTGACAGATAAATGGGTGTTACTCAGGGACAATCTCATAACAGTCCTTTGTACGAGTTCGAGTTGTGCAGAATTACAAATAGATCGCAATTATTGTAAGTGACGTATAGGGTATTATAAATGTCTAATATCGTAACAGAAATAAAGTCTATATTGTATTTTCCCTAAATTCAAAGATAATTATTGCAAAAATGAAAAATGACCAGAATACAATACGTCCCTATTTTATCTAGGTTGTAATATATATTACAGGGGAAAATAACAGCAATTTTCTGATGCGACTCATTTAACAAAATCGATATATAAATAAAATTAAATACTAGGTCTATAAATTAATTCTTGAATTAAATCATGTATAATACTTGTTCATATTTAACTTCTTTTCCCGCCATAGCGGTGTCATTGAGTAGAAATACCAACTTTAGAAGCATAATACCCAACTCTGCAACCGACATAACTTCAAAAAGCAATATATATGTATAGTAATCTTTAGTACACGCATATTAAAAGTATATACTAAAGATTTTTTAAAAGAAATTTCAATATTTTTGACAAGTAACATTTTGGATCCTGGGTAAAACTGCTATTTTTTCATTAGGTTTGAAAGTTCTTCCTTATAGAGCTTATTCCTAGGACCTTTTCCCCTTAGGATTATTTTTCCCGATCGCTATGACACCACCAAATCGATTCACATTCTCGATCATCCGAAAAATAAAAAAAAAACATTCTTGGCTCTGTTGGCGCGAAACCTCCATTTTGTTTTAGAGAGGGAATAATTACTTAGAGATTGAGTATAACATTATCTCAGAATTGGTACAATTACTAGATGCTAATGAAGATTATTTTGATACTTAAAATTTTATTTGACTATTTATAAATGTACATTAGAATTACCGTAAAAAGGCCGAAAATGAATTTGTTTAGACAAGAAACAAGCATACATTCGTAAGATATCATATAAACAAATTAAACTCAGCCCATTAACGTTGTGATCTGCAATTCGAACAGCTGTAAATCAATAGAATTAATATTTGAATATTTATAAAATTTTTAATTGAAAAATATCAGGTCGAAAAATAATTAAGGCAAATGTAAATTATAAAATGTACGATATCTTGTTTATACTTACTTTTATAGTAAAAGTATTTATAAAACAATTTGTTAGAAATTAAGTTTAAAAAACATTTTTTTTACGTAAAAATTTTCGATAAAATTTTAATGTGATCGTGAATTGTGAGTAACAGTATTATACAGGGTATTTCCGAACTGGTGGTATAGCTCAAAAAAGGATTAACCTATGTATTAAAATAATGTTGCAATGGTTGTTATATCAATTGAAAGTTGTATCGCTTTTATTGGAAAACTCTTTATAGTTTTGATTATCTTTGCAAACGCTAAAACAGCCGTGCGTAGAACCGTTTTGAAAGTGAAATTAATCGTGCGAAACCTATCCTCGCACGTGAGTCATAAGGATCTCGCAATTATAACGTCATAATTGAATCATAGGGAGCGCGTTTCCACGAAACGAAATCCTTTCTGTTGCTCGTCGACCGTGCATATCGGGGAAAAGAAATTACAGAATAATTCACGCGTGCAGTTTTTGTCGGGAATTAAAGCAATTAACGTGCAAAAGCAATCATAAAGCGATTATTAACGCCTGTCGCGCGTGCCTCTCGATTAGATTGGTTTCAATGAATGCGAATACTCGTAACACCTAATCAGCAATCAACGTTAACGATTTAATGAAATAGTCCAGTCGATCGAAGTTGCCAGGCGTAATTTCGAATAAAGCTGCACGAATTATTAGTAACCACCCGATATTTAATTATTGTCGAGAGAATGGAATGCCAATTAATTTTGGTGGCCATTTTATTTCGTAGTTCCAAGCCCGTAAAGATGATATAATTTATTAAATTCATAATTCTGCTTCAATATAAATTAAATAAAAATTCTGTAACGAAACAAATGCTCTTTATCTACCATTCTATTTAATTGCGGATTATTAGTGCTAGAAATACGACTTTATTTTTTTTTCACGGAATTTCCATAACCGTTATGTCGGCGCGAGATAACAATGCAAATAATTAAGCACCAATAAGGCGTTTCCGGGCAGGTTGTGTAACCGAGTGTGTGAGAAAATTGTTTTGTATGAACTACTCAAGGTTCGATCAAAAACATCCACCTTTCGCTTTGGTATAATAACCGAAACGAAGAGATCCGCGTTCTTTTTTTTATCGTTCTTGACCTTCGTGGTCTTGATCTCATAAATATCGACGATCTAGAAACAACCTGATAATCACAAAAACATCAAAATACTGCGTCGTTAATCACTGTATTTCTGCGCGAATAGAACAATCTAATCAGTGGTCTCGAACGGTCGCAGGCGTATCGTAAACTTTGAATCATTTAATTACCACGTTGGCTTGTAAAACATTCGGATGACGACGTATACCAAACGTGCCTTTGTCAGCCATAACATCGTCCAACATGGGCATAATTTATCCCGCAGGCTCCACAATCGATCGTCAATTTGCATACGACGAATCTTCTTTCGACCCGCATTGCATTCAATCGTTCTACAAAGTTAATTTATGCAAGGCGCGAAGATTAATGTCTCGCGTTGGTCTATTTGAAGCCTCCTATTTCGGACAATGTTATTAGAACTCGTTAATCACGATTTTAACGCAGACTTAACGGATGTTCCGTTCGAAATACATTACGAACTCATATATCGCATAGTACAAATAAATCTGTGGATGTCAGGAAAAAGTTCGCGTGCCACAATTAAAAAAAAAAAAAAATAATAATCAAGAAAAAAAAGAAGTTTCCGATTAAATTTTACTCTTCCACGTTCCGACAATGATCGTCGGAATTTTTTGCAAGCACCACGAAGAACGAAGGAACTCGTCGACGACGGGAACACTCGCAGACCTATAATAACACGTCATTTTCCACAGACACGATAACTATAATTTCGTGCGGGAATTGAATCTTTAATTGCACAAATCCCATACAAAGACGTTCCCGGCTGGCGCCAGTCGGAAAACAAGAAAATCGCGAACGAGTCGGAGCCTGAGCTCCCTGTTCTTGTCTTTCTTGATATTTTTCTTGCCCGGATCATGGCCTTACGTTTCCTTTATTACGTTCTTTATTTTCGTCCTGCGCTATTTCTAGTTTTGTTAGATTCAATGATTTAACTATTCTTGTCAATGTTCTCTCTACATATAGTAGTTATTTCATTGTTCGCGTAATTTCCAAAATGTTCTTAATTTTTAAGGTTCAGTATTTTACGATGTTAGACTTGCCTCAACCTCTACCATCATGATATAATAATAAATATATGTAATTCGATTTAAAAAAAACATCGCTGACCTTGAAATTTCGAAAAAATATGAACTTACAAACAAATTGTTCCTCAAGAATTCTTGTGCACCATTAGACTAGAATAAATTTTCATTTCAATGTTCTGGACCCACAATTAGGGCATACAGAGAGAAATTATAAACTTTCTTATTTAAGCTGCTGGATAGATAGAGACAGAGATCTTTTTAGACAGGAGTATTTTTTTTAAAGACGGTATTGAGATTTAAAATTTGTTAACAATTTCTTTTAGAAACAATTATTTTTATCTCGATGACGTTTTCGAACGTAGATTCCTTCATCCTTTTCCGTTTAATATGAGAAAAAGAATCGGAAGAGCTCGTAGCTCGGCGCCCATCGTATCGTGGCGATCCACATTGCGTAATACACGATTTCATACGAATTAAGCAACGATAAGCGTTGATCACCGTCTTCGGCTCTGCAATTGTTGCTTCGCAGAAGCGCCATTACGGATAATCGGTTTCGAGTCGGTGCTCGCGACGCAACAGCGGCCAAGTAGAAAAACCCTGTTTGGCGTCAGGCGACAATCGCCTCGATTTTGCTCTTCACCTTGCGAAAGTCTGAACTCGGAGGTCAAAACGTTAACGCTGACCAGAGTCGCGAACTACGTAAAGGACACGTTATCCACAAACTCTAATCCGCTGAATTTTATTTTATTGTCGACGCAAATTATTTTATTTAATGTTGATTTTGATCAAATTGATAAATAAAAATCAATTTTCCTTTAAAGCATTTAAAAAATAATAAACTAATGAAGGATAACATAAATTTTGAAAGAATTACATTTACATATACTATTAACTTGCAGAGGGTCGCAGAGGCCCCAATAATCCACTTAAGAGTTAAATAATAGATATAAAAAAAATATCTATCTTTCTAATTTTTCGTAAAGAACGATAACAATATTACTGAAAAAAATTTGCGTGGAGAACACCGTAATGCCATTTTCTTCGTTTTTAAAGTAAAAAATTGTTCGTAACTTATTTTACGATAAAGTTATAATTCCTGAAGTAATTAAATTGCAATTCTATGCAAGTCTATATATCAATATATCAATGATATTGAAGATATGAATATCCTGAATTTAAAAATTTAAATTATGATTCATATATAATTAAAGATTTAGATAATATAAATTTATTTCGTTTATTAGATGTAGATAATCGAATAATTATTCCTTTTTATATTCCAATTCGATTATTAACTACATCTTCAGATGTAATTCATTCTTGAACAGTACCTTCTTTGGGTGTAAAAATAGATTCAATTCCAGGACGAATTAATCAAATAACATTAATTTCAATACGATCAGGGTTATTTTTTGGTCAATGTTCAGAAATTTGTGGAACAAATCATAGTTTTATACCAATTTCAATTGAAAGAACTAATCATAAAAATTTTATATCTTGATTATATTCTATAAATATATAATTATATAATTTTTTATATTATAATAAATTTAATATTAATTTTTAATTTAATAAAAATAAATAAATATTAATTAAATTTTAATAGAAATATTATATTTATAATATAATATTATAAAAATTTTATTTATATTTATAAATTTTTTAAAAAATTAGTTAAATTTAATAACATTAAAATGTCATTTTAAAATTATTGTTAAATCAATATTTTTTCATTAGATGTCTGAAATGTAAGAATAGATCTTTTAAATCTACTAGAGCCTTGTATCGCACTTGGATGGATCGTAGAACGGTCAATGAGAGTGATCGAATATTCGAACGGAATTATGCAATGCTGAGAGACACCATTATCGCGATCGAAAATCTCGAAGCGCGTCGCCCTTCGCCGAGACGCCGGAGCAAGATCGACTCGATCCTCCAGCAAGTTCGTGCGAGATTCTTCAGCGTACAAGTTCAAGGCTCCGCGAGCGATACGGATACCTGCAAGGTCACCGAGTGTGCAAATACCGTGATTATAGCCGCGTACAGGTGCAGCAGCTTTCTCATTGTCGGCAGATGAGGCTGGCTGACGTAAACGGCGCGTTCGATCCGATGCCGAATCTCTACGCGAAAATCGCTTCCCAGAACAAGGGCTCCATTAAAATCATCCACACGGATTTTCGTTAATAACAATTTAAACCGACGGCCCTTTTATTAACTTTTTTTCTTGAATACGCATTCGCGCTTGTTCTTTAAAAGAAACTATGCATTTCTTTCACATAAATCAATACTCCCCGTCATTCTGCGTATACAAGTGTTAAAGACGATTAACTGAGATAGTTCATACTTTATTTTAGGATATTACTTTAATCCAGGTGTTCAAACATTCCATCATGGACGTTCGAACATTTTATTAGTCACCCCCTTAAGCGTTCCATAACATTACGTAACAGTTACTTTAGAAAAAGTCAAAAGATTTTAAACAGAAAATATTTCTGTTAAAATATCGACGCGATTGAGCTTCCAGCTTAAAATAGTATCGTAGTTCGCGACGAATTCTATTCGTCCGGGGAATTCGATCCATACAAAACGAAACGCGAAGACGATCGTGTTCCGATGCAGTAAATTTATGCAATGATAAGTATACCAATGGTTAAAGTTTCAACCCAGGACTAAAGTTGGATTCAAGATTAGGCTCGTGTGCTAAGTTCGCGGAGAATTTCCGTGATTCGGTGCTGGGCAATTAACATGGCGTCTTTCGTGTAGAGAGAATCAACACGAAATTCAGTTACTAACGAGCGTAAGGGGACGTTTACAAATGGCTGCGATACCGTTTGAACAATAGGGAACCCGTGGCGGGTCGAATAGTTGCAAAGTGATACGCGATGGTACCGGAACCCGCGAAACGAATAGTCCGCATAATTACACGCGGTACCACTCTGGTCGATATTTCTATCCGGCTTATCGGCGTCATCGGACACGATGGTTTATTGTCGATGTTCCCCCGTCCATTACGATGAGTCGAAGACAATCGATGCGGCATACATTTTCCTCATCGCGCGATCCGACCATGACCTCGAAATAATTGTTTCACTCTTTCGCCATCGCGGTTTTCATTCATTTTTAGAAATTTTATACACCCCACAATGTACAGTGGGTCGAAAGCGTCGGAAACGTGGCTAAAATTCAAGATTTCATCGAATCTTTTTAAAACTCGGTAATTTAGGGGGATTGAAGTTGCTGATATCGACTCTGAAATCAAACATTTCAAATTTAAAATGGCGATATCAGTACGCGGTGTGCAGGGTGTTCGGCCACCTATAGAAAAAATTTTAATGGGAGATTCTAGAGACCAAAATAAGACAAAAATCAAGAATATCAATTTCTTGGTTAAGGCTTCGTTAAAAAATTAAATTAGAAAATTTCAAATCATTCTGAAAAAAATTATTTTTGGTTTCGGAGGGACCATTACAATCATTTTTTATAAATAGATCACCCCGAAAATCTACGCACTTTCGAGAAAAAAAATGAAGTAGGTGACAAATTTTTCGATAAAATTAAAAAATTTCAATTCGTTCTAAAAAAATTATTTTTGGATGCAAGGTTGAATTACAATAATTTTTGGTCATTACACATACCCCCGAATTCCTACGCACTTTCGAGAAAAAAATTCCTCACCGAAAATCTAATCTGAGAAATGGTTCCTCGAAATTTCATGCGTATCTTTAAAATGTCGTAACACCTGAACGGACTGAAGGATTTTAATGTCTCAAAAGGCAAATAACGCGTATTTTGGTGGAGAATATGTAGAAATTCTAACAATGTTGGAAAAGTTGTTCCTTGACTCCGTAAAGTGAGAAAAACACCATAAAAATGGTCCAATTCTCAAACAGCCATAACTCCTACAATAGTGAATATATTTCAATGAAACTTTTTCCTAAAGTAGAGTTCATGAGTACCTATAAAAAAAGTATTATTATACAGTTTTTCTGTAGGGCGTCAAACGATTTTACTAAAAATCAAAAATGAATTTAAAAAAAAAATCGACAATTCGGTGCCTACATTTTTTGGCGAAAAAAAAAATTTCAAATCGTTCTGGAAAAATTAATTTTGGTTGCGAGGGTCAATGATAATCATTTTTGGTGAATGGACATACCCTCGAAATCCTTCGTACTTTCGAGAAAAAAATTCTTTACTGAAAATATACGGTGTGGCCAGAAATGTTTCCTGTACAGATTGACGGATTTTAATGGATCAAAAGTCAAACAATACTTATTAATAGAGCCCTAGAGTCTCAGAAAAGTTGGCCGTAAAAATACACTGGGTATACGGTCTGCTCGTATATTTCGTCTGTGATGAAAACTACTATTGCGCGCAGCTGTTCGCATATTACAAGAACACAATCTATTGATTTATTCTTGCTTTTTAATCAAATATGGAAAAAGCTGGTAAGAATGGAGGTGCATACCTTTTGCTGCAAGGTTTGCAATTGTTAAAATTCTTCCAGGCAATCTAATTTAAAAAGTTTAAAAGTCCCTGACGGGGAAAACCCAAATAACCTGCGAGAAGTGGTCATCGAAGTTCGTGTAAAAGTCTATCAAAGAAAAAGGAAAATAAAGATCGAGAAAGTTTAGGTGATCGAAAACCGGTATTGCGCACCTAGATTGCTAGTTTCGCGGTTTATGAATGGAAGAATCTTATCGCCATAGTCTGTTTCTCTCGCTCGTGCAAGATATTTTGGGGTCGAATGAGTAATACCCGGTCGATGATTAATTCTGTTATTTCCATTGAGCAATACCTTCGGGGAATTACCAAACACCGGAGAGGGGCTTCGAGAGATACAATTGCCGGCGCTTATATTATAGTAACGCCGCCAATGATTCGAAGGATTCCTCACAGACCAACCGATTGACACGTCCGAGGTCTTCGGAAGCTTATACAGTCCAACCTCGATTAACCGGCTTCGTCGGGATTCAGACAATATGGATAATCGAGGTTTAACACAGAAAAAACTTAAAATACAATTTATAAGCAAAATATTATATTTTTTAAGTTTTTTCCCCCAGAGTAGATTTAACTAAAAAGAAAGTACTACTATCGCTTTTATTGGGGAACCCATTATGTACACAATCTATAGAAAGTCGTATCTTTTGCCAAATAAAATTTCTATTAGTATATGAAATCTCTAAAAACACAGCTTTTTTATTAATCACAATGGATCCTGCTTTGAATAATAAACATTATATTTGATAAAAAGAAACTTGCTAAGAGCTACATTTTAAGTTCCGGACATTGACTTAGAATTAAGATTTTAAATAGGTAATTCTTATCCCACCACTATGGGTATCGTGTACTATTGTTCTCGCGAACGTTCACCGTCGTCAAATTCCCCGAGTAAAGCAGCTTCAAGTGAGCCGCAAAATCCTGCTCCGCGCCAGACGCTGCAGCATTCCAGGCCGTCGCGACGCAACCGGGTTCTCTCGGTGTCGCACGGTGACCTGAAAAGCGGTATTTCGTAGAAAAATACACGGAAAAGAAATTCTGATTTCAATACGATGTCCAGATTTTCACAAAAACTCAAGCGTACCCAAACTTTTAAACAATAGCGTTTCGAGATTCTGATCGAATATCATCTCTGGTAGCAACGAAATATTTTCCTAAATACAGTGAAAAAATTGGATTTCGGGCCAGAAAATCCCCAGCGTGGGTCGGGGATCAAACGGGTGCATCGAGACAATTCCCCGGATACACCTGATTCCCCCAGGTAGCCGGTTTCCCACCGAACGGTGGAAATCAGGTGGGAGGTGGAAGGTGGAGTTACCGGTGACGAGACTCGGTGGGGCTCTGTCCGTGAGTAGGGGGGTTACCGGTGCGTACCCTGGTAACATTGGACCCCCACTTGCGGCTACCGAAGTCGAAGACGCATACGACGACGACCTGACACCGACGCGACGTCGACGCCGACCGGCGACCATAGTACGTCCCACCGTCTGCAGTTGCAGTCAGCCACGGTGTGCTTACGATCAAGCACGCGACATTCCGGCTCGCGGGGGATTCCCGGCGTTTCCCTTTTGGTCTCTAGACGCGTTTTCTCGTCGTTCGCGAGCCACTCGGCCGCGCCAGGGCACGTAGACGGTGAGTCACAGGTGCCATGCTGTGCAGGCTAAATCCAACGTCGGGATTAGTGCTTCCCCGCGAGAGAAGGTGTGGGAAGGAGGGGGGGATAGAACTACAGTGTCGACGAGAATTGGCAGGATCCGTCTTCATTCATCGATTCGCGAATATCCTCGGTCGTTTGTTTATATGTATATCTCCTGCCAGTTCTCGTCTCGCCCCGTGACCCTTAAGAGTGACTTCTCGTGTGAAGACAGTGAGGTTAACTGCGGAAGGAGAGGGGTGGGGGTATCGAGAAGTGACAGTGAGTAACATTGCCCGTGAATTCTTGCGCGAGCAGGAAGTAGGGTATCCGTGCTCAGGATATCTGGCGATGTCTGTGATGATCAACGGGATGTATGTGTTCGACAGTCGCGGGAGGGGGAATTTTTGGAATCGCTAGCGTCAGAGGGCATCGCTTTCGAGTTTGTTTTCTATTCGCCGTAGTCCGAATAATTCCGAGGGAAAGCGATATATTCTCTGCGCGGTGTTCCCGTTCGACTTTCGAAATATTTTCGAAGATTTTCGTCGGCCCCGCTTCCGGTACCTTCGCGCGGGGTTCCGTTACGCGCGTTCGCGGAAAGTTCAAGGAGTCCGCTTTCTTAAATCGGTATTTTTAGCGCGATCGCGGGACCATTATATGGTAAATGCATATTTGACAAGCCGTGTTCCTTCACGGTCGAGTAAGTTTGACATATCGAGAACATAATTGGCCCGAACGCGGCGCGATTCCGATTCGGCCGTCCAACTTTCACGCTGGCCTTCCAAACGGGGGTTGAAAACTGTTATGATGTCGATTTCGGTTCTCCAGACGGTTACGAGAAACTTTTATTCCGAGTAAATGTTATTTTATTTCAACGTTGGTGCACGCGAACGTGAAATTTCTATTAGAGGACCACGATTTACTGTCAACAGTCCATTTATTCCATGAATAATTATGTTTAATGTTTTATCAACTGCAGATTTGTTATAAATTATACGAAGAAACTTAAACTTCTATAACTTCTAGAATATAGGGATTAATAACACGAGATTTTTGAAACACATCTTGTCTCCAAAATTTCTGTTTCGATTCCAGCACCCTTTTCTTTTGTTATTCACAGTATAACCGCGTAATTTAAATTATGTGATTACGTTTAATATCCGCGTGACAAATACAGATTTCATTGTGTTTCATTTTGTAACCAACGGTTTACCGTGCATTTATCATATTGAATTAAATTTCGAATATTCCGAGTGCAATATACGCTGAAATTAGTCGTAGTATACAATTCCCCACATTTGACGCTAATGGATGAGTCTCTTGACAAATTGGTTTCTGCAGAGTTTTAATTCTCGAGATACGAAATATTAATTCCTTTCGACGAGGCTTTCGTGGAGGTAGCCTCGACGTTCGTCCTAGTTTTAGCTTACGTCTGGTCTTCAAAGTCACATTAATGTTCGAAGAACGTCACTTTCGATGACAAATAACAAATTACAGATAATATATAAACGAATGTTCCTGATAAGCCTGGTGAATCATAATTACGTCTCTGACGTTCGCGCTTAAGTTAACATCTTGAGTTTACATTCGCGCTGAACTTGAGATATAATATCGGTCATATATAATACATACATAATTCTTAATATGCATGTGTAAACATTTTCAAGCGCGACGTATAAGTATTTTGTTTTTACTTGACCGAAGAAAGAAACTTTCCTCTTGTTAATAAAAGAATAATTCCGTAGCATTTATTAATTTGTTTATTTTATAATTGCAAATGTACTCGTTGTTTATTATAACTCAATCCCGTATTTAGTGTATTATTAATAACGTATGAGTTAAACGCGAAACGATTGGAATATGCAAGGTGAGTAATTTAACTCTTTCACCTTAATTTTTCTTATAAACTACATGTTGTACAAAAAAATGTTTTGAACGAAAGTTGTTCGGTATAAAGAGGGGTATACTCGGCAACAATTAATTTTTTGCCGTTTTCCTTTTTTCTCAAAATATGAAGGACACATTTAATCATGCTATTTGAAAGTCTATTCAATATAGAATAACAAATTATTAAGGCGCATGTGGTGTTATAACTGCAGAAACACTTGTACATGCATTATTCACATTGCTTAATCGCCTACATGCTTGCATTGATTGTAATGGATAACATTTTGAATATTTCTTGCGTTAAAAATCAACTAAAAAACAAATTTCTAACCCCTTGCACCTTAATAATTTTGTATTCTGTATTCAATAGACTTTCGAATGGCATGATTAAATGTTGCACATCATAGTTATAAAGCTCAAGGTATTCTTCATATTTTGATAAAAAATATAAATTTTCAAACCTCCAATTTGTTCTAGAGGAAAAATTGCTCGAAATATCGTCTGTTATAACATATTTAACACCAGAATTACCGACAATTATAGTGTATTTATTTCTACCAAAGAAATTAAAATGATAGAAACTCGAAGAAATGTATGTATAATGCAATAGAAATGAATGTTTCTATCTGTTCTCTTTATAGAAAACTGTGATAAATTCGCAAAAATCCAGTCGAGTAAATTTTTTATCATTTTTATTAGAAATTACAAATGATTTTGACCACTTCCGGTAGTTCTACTGTTAAAAATGAACAAAAAGAGGGGTATCTGACAAATTCATTCGTTGGTCAGATTTTGAACCATGTAATCGAGATACATTATAATTGAAATATTTGTTATAAATATCGCTATAAATATTTTGATAAAAAACGAAAACTCTTTTTTTTATACTACATGTTGTTTACGAGAAAAATTAAGGCGAAAGAGTTAAACGACTCAGCCTGTACAACTATTTTGTAACCGATGTTAAGTACAGTCATAAATCGAAACGTGCCCTTAAATTCGTCGCGATCGATAGGCCCGTTTTTCGGTGGTAGTCGTAAACAGTCGTCGGCGACTCGGTCGGAGAATCGGTTCTCGAGCTCAGTTTTCGTCCGGTAATTCGGGGGGAACAGTATTGTAAGTTCGTGGGTAATCTCAGTGCCGGTTGGAGATTGCTCGGATCAACGTCACGTTGCAATAACGGAACTACGTCATAAATTGGCGAGCGAGCTCCGTGACCAGGTGGGCCGATAAAAATTTCCTGGCCGTCTCGCGTCGCACCGGTTTCTCTAACCGTGATTCGCCGCGTTCCCTTCCACGCGATCCGAGAAGGTCAAGTGCTTTTAGAACGATCCTTCTTCCGTCGTCGATCTAACGTTGCTCGTTCGCGATCTCGGTGACAGGAGCTTCTCCTCGCGTTAATGAAATCCTTCGTTCTTCGGTGTAGAGAAAGAAACCGGACCGAGGAGAGCTCGAGGGGAGAGCAGCGGATTTAACGATCGCGAGGATCGAGAAGAGAGGACTAGAGAATTCGGCGTTTCGTTGAGAGAGAAGGGTGGAGAAGCCCGTTCTTGCAACGGTGGAACGATCTACGTTTACACGCTTCGTGAAACGGTGACACGGAGGGGGTTTTACATGCGTCATCGTCGTGCGGGTACAAATCGCACGCGACGAAACGTTTCGACGGCAGTACACGTGCGTGACGACGCGCTCGATCGGTCCTGCGGAACACGGGGCTTAGATCCTCTTTCAAGGACGCACAGTGATAAATGCGGTGCCGGAGATGACGCCCTCCGCGTTCTCCAAAATGGTCACCCGGCTGGTCCTGGTGTGCCTCGTCGTCGCGTGCCACGGTGAGTACATTCTTTCTCGTACCCCTCGAAGGCTTGGCTATAATTATTCCTTTTTTCCCCCCCCCTACTGCCTTTAAGTCGCCTCGACTACTTCTCAGTTATCAGCGACTGTCTGTTGTTCGATTATATTATTGCGGTCAGCAACTTGGTTTCCATTAGGGACGAGGTTGTTGATCTCGTCTTCGTCCAAGTTTTCTTTTAGTGGCGCATCGATATACTCGGGGTACTTTAACCTTTAACGAGATACTACACTTTTGTGACACGAACGTATAGAAGACTGGAAAAGACTCGTCATTTGAAATCGTACTAAAACAGTTGGGAATAAAAATTTTTAAATACTTTAAATTTTTGTAATACATAGTTTATTATTTCCTCGATTCTGCAATAGTAAGAAAATATAATAATAATGATAATCATTATCAATAGCATCATCTTCATCCGAATCAGTACCGACATCTGTTTCCGCAGCAATTGCGCGGCGAATATTCTTATCACTCGATTCTTTATTTTATCTTGAAGTCATTGAGATACAAAAAAACTATAATTACAAAACAAGATGCTTCCTCAAATTCCCCGACAAAATTTTACCCCTAAAAATGTCAAAGTACTTGTATTTCTGTTATTTTTATAGTTTTTTTTTGAATAGTTTTTATTTGAGAAATAGTAAATTATTTAAAAATTTATTTTTAAACACCTTATCGTTGATCTTCAAAAGCTGCAAAAAGAATAATTCTGCTAAACTATTTTTTCGACTGTTTTTATCGCTATAAAAACGAAAATGAGTCAAAAAATCTTGACTGTACCATTAAATCACATAAAGCCTTTTGAATTTGCAAACCTTTTATGGCCACGGACATAAATATGTAAGTGTTCCCACTGCCAACCAGGAGTATACTCGTGTGTGATTTTATGTGTATAAACAATTATTGAAATGTGTGTACTTATCAAGAAATAATAGAACGTGGATAAACGATAACACTCAAAACAGTAATGGCAATTGGAACTTCATATAATTACGCGATGAAACCTGTACTTCGAGCAAAACAATAATATGTCTCTTACCAGTGGTTAACAAATTTTATACATTTTGTATTCCTTTTCTTTTAAAGTTGTCGATGATTGGAAACTAAAAGAGGTCCACAAGAGTTAGGATTAGACTTTGGGAACATAGTATATTAAAATGTGGTTCTGAATTCAATGTAGTAGTGGCAATAATTTTTTGCAAGTATCTTGGAAACTGAACCCGATCTCCAATTATTTCAACGGAAAAAGTTGCTCGAAATTATAGTGTATTTATTTGCACCAAAGAAATTAAAACGATAGAAACTCGAAGAAATATATAATACCATAGAAATAAATGTTTACCTGTTCTCTTTATAGAAAACTGCGATAAATTTGCAAAAACCAGTCGAGTAAACTTTTATAATTTTTATTAGAAATTACAAATCATTTTGACCACTTCCGGTAGGTCTACTGTTAAAAATTAACGAAATCTGTAAAGAGGGATATCATTAAGATAATCAGCAATTAGTTGAAAAGTTTGAACGATGCAATTCATTTTTATATCATTTTCGATAGGCTTCCCTTCGACCTTTGTTATTCAAAATTTCGCCGAAATTACTTGATGATTACTCCAAACGGTGAACCGTGTAAATTCTGCGATTTCCACGACGGGTATTGAAACCGATTATTTACGTGCCAGAAATGCCTGGAACGAGAATGGAGAAATAACGCACGCTGCTCTTATCGAAGAACAATGGAATTACAATTGATAAGTGGTCCACCGATAATGTCCACGTAAGATTGTCGATTAAATGCAGTCAGAGTCATAATTACTTGTCGCAATTCTTCGAGCTCGACATTCCTCTAAAGGCAGACAGTTTTTATTTAACATTTTATTAGATGTATCGTTTACTTTCTAAACACCATACCGGTATTAAACGAAGGATCAGAAAATTATTGGCACAGGCAAAAATATGATAACTGCACGGAAAAGAAATGTTTTATTATAGTTAACATTCTGCTGGATATCCGTGTTTCGAATAGTTTTTGACATTCTACCGTTTCTCTTTCAATCCTATTTGAAAATCAGGTTTGTCCGCACTAGAGTAATTACGTATTTTATTATTAATTATATTCCACTCCATTATAGAGTTATTCTAGCGCAAAACGTCTTTTTTTAATAATATTAACAGCACGTATACTTGACTTTGCCAAACAGCCATCATTGGCCGCAGTCACGTGTACGTGATTGCGTTACTCGAGATTCAAATTTGATCTCAAGTGCTTATTACGGTACCCTAACATTTATAATTTCTTACAACAATATTCCTTTGGTACACAATGTCAGTTAATATTTGTATGTATGTATGTATAACTCTGCTTCCACTCAATTGCAATGTTGTTAAAGTAAGAAACTCGTTTCCGATCCTCGATCGTGTCACGCCGGAAGCTCTCGGTTCAGTTTCGTACGTTGTCCGTAGCCTCTAGTAACCTTAGCAATTCGCCGCGAATCGCAGGGCGTAATAAATTGGCCCGGCGCGATACGGTATCGAATTAATATGCTACGAACCATCATTTTTACGTCTTCGAAGGCCTTAACCTCGACAAGGGCCACGTAGCCTTTAAATGTCTTTACACATATTGCATTCGAAATGACTTGCGACGAGGGACTTTTCGCTGTTACTACCACCTAATAGTTTAACTTGTCAAAACTTCGTCCGCAGTCGTTCTAGAAACTTTCCGCTTACCGTCCCTGGATGAAATGAAATATAAATTCGGTGGATTTACAGAACTTTCGAACCGTAGAAACGCATTAAACTCGCGCCTCGTAATTGTCAAGTTATGCTGATCTTTTCAATTCTTTTGCTATTGTTCCCATTGTCGACGATGTTTTTCGGTCATTTTTGGATTACCTGTATATTCTTACAAATACAAATTTATAAACCGGAAAAATTACGGGTAAATATAAAAGGTATTTTTGAAATTTCGGTGTCTTGATAGATTATGAAAGTACGATCGAAAATATTGTGTCCCGTAGCGTCCGCCCGCGCGAAAAATTTATGTCGACCGTTGAATTCACTTTCGTCGGGAGCGTGTGTCGTTAGAATAACAAATTCCCGACGATTTGTCATCGCGAACGGCAAAGGGAACGCGACGGCAGAGCGAAATCACGGCGATCTCGAACGGAATCAGAGCGAAACGCCGAGGCATCGCAGTAAAATCGAGCTCTAGGCACAATTTAGAGAAATGCCTAAAGAAAATATTAATAGGACCGAGAATTTTAATATTTTCTTTTCTTTCTTCAAAATTTTTAACTTGATGTTTGCAGAATATTCTCTTGTTTCAAAATTCGGAAGATTTTAAACGTAAAACGGGGCAAGATCGAGAGGAACGTACAAAGAAAAATAAGTAGGATTTTAAAACGACACGAGAACGTTCATACGTTGAATAGAGTTTGCATCTTAGAACGATGGAAATCGAAACGATCGAGCGTAAAGAATTCGAGACGATCTTGGACCATGAACCGTGAATCATGGAAAGGAAAGGATGTCGATTCGCGAAGGTTTGTTCTTCGTATATGTACTGTTAACTTTCAACTATTATCGCTGAAATAAACATCGTACGCTTCCTGTAAAATTGATCATACTTGAACTCGAAGGAATCTTGCACATAAGTGTAATAATATCGCTGCGATCGAAACCAGTTCAATGTCAAATCTTTCTCTCACCGGTCGCCGCATTCTCACATTACAAAAACTGGAGATCGCTGGTAATAAATCCCGAGAACTCGTAACGTAAAGGACAGTGAACCGACTAACGCTTACGCTACCACTTTTTACAATGTTTTCTTTTCACATTTAAATGCAGTTAAGCACTTTTGGACCTAATGGTGAAACATACAATAAGAAACAAATCTGAACAGATGGAATTTTAACACAAATAATAGTTTTTTCAATGTTTGAGTATATAACCCAAGGTCGTATAATTATTATTATTTTGCTTAATACAAATTTTTTGAATGCAATTGGTTTTACACCGCGATTGACTTTAAATAAACGAGACGTTGCAGACTCAATATACTTGATGAAATTAATAATTATTAATATCTTGTGACTCCACTGTCATTCTATATTTGTATTAAACGTTTTGTTAGAAATTTAAGAACGACATGAGATTGTCAATAATTTGGATCGGGCTTCGCGTGCAGGAACGTCAATTATCCTGAGGAGGATCGATCGTGAAACGATGATAGAGACTCGTATCGTTGGGTTTCGGCGGGTTTGGAGTTTTGTCGATTCTTTTTCGATGTCTTCCCGTAAAGAATTCGTAGTATGGCAGGGGAACGGCGTGCTTTGGCTGCCCGAAAGAACTGGTTCTTCTGCGGAGGGTGGTTAAACTCGATGCAATGCGTGCGTTTAGTGAAACATCGCTCTGGAATGCAAACACGTGGGGAAGGGTAGATTCTTGCATGGGAACTACATATCGTCCTGGGTTACGATCCACGACGCTGAATTTTATATATTCCTCGAGATGCAACCGTCTCCATCTAGTTCACGTAAAAACTTTTTCTTTTAATTTTACGTAACGCTTGTGTTCGTTGTCGAATAATTTGTTTCGCTTTTTAATCGCTTCCGTAGATTTCCTATTCCGTCCCAAGCACGGTCGATCATTTTCAAACGCAAGTTTACAATTTCTCGAATATTTTATCTTCTAATATTATCGGAAGTTAAGTTTGCGGCCGAGGATTCCAACGTACTTGGGATATTAATTTGTTTGAGACGCATAAAATATTGCTATTGACAATGGGAACGAATAAAATTTTATATTTTTAATTCTCGATAACAACGAAGAAACAGGAAGTATCTGAAACTTTGGTCTATCTAAAAAATCACATAAACTTCTCTAAAAAAGTAAGCCCTCAAAATTAAAAAACAGATGTACTGTTTGTAATAATCACGTATGAAGCGAGATTATATATGTATGTATTGTACATTAACC